TTTATATAATCAACTTTGGTCACTCGCACTACTCCACAGCTGTGCACGAAGAGGCTGCAAAGGCCAGCTACCAGGGAGACTGCAAACAGCCACGTGCTCACACAGGAAAAGCAGCACCAGGTACGGCAACGCTTGGGTGTCCAAGTAAAGACAGGGTACAGAGCACCTTTCAGGCAGGAAGCTAACTTCTCTGGGAATGTACATTTAAAATACCTGGATCATCAACATTCCACCCCGAATGTAACCAGGACAAGGCCCTGGCACAATCTTCTCCCCTCCCCTCCCCTCGCCCACTGTACTTCTGTTACAAATACTTACCACATGGCGTTATAATCAATTGCTTTCATGTCTGTGTGTGCTCTGATATTCTCAGAGGCAGGGACAAAGCTTACTTGCTTTTCTATAGCCTAAGAAGGGCCTGAAAATTGATTTTAAAAATGAAAAAGCAATGAATGGCTGCTGAAAACCAGAAACTGGTCATGTATGTATTCACAAGGTTTTCCCACAAGAGTTGATTTTTAAATTTTAATGAAGAGATAAAAAAGTAGATTCAAGTTATCTTCAAGTTATTTTCCACTCTAGAGCTCTGTTTCCCCGTTTGGCCTATGTACAATTAGATAAGCTGCACAGGGGCTCGGTAAGCGGTAAAATTCCTCCTGGCACCATCATGGCACACGGTCGCCTGGTAGTGGTTTCCGATGTTTGCGCTCCATCTATTATGTTCCAAGGCACCAGCAGTGTGAATCAGCTCCGCGGAAAACAAGTACGTAGTAGCTGAGGACATGACTCAGCACTGTCCTCAAAATACCTCCCCCGGGGAAAACCAATCCAATAGTCATGAACACCCTCATCACTCACATCACAGCTACCACAGCGAACGAGTGTGAAAACAGGGTGACAACAGGGTAACTCAAGGAAAAGGGTGGGGGGTGTCCGGGCATTGTGATGCAGAGGGTTAAACCCTGCTTAGGACAACTGTGTCTCATTTCAGAGACCCTGAGATGGAGTTCCACCCTGCTCCTGATGGAGCCTCCCGCTAACTCATCAGGGAAGTAGAGCCGAGCACCCGAGTGCGTAGGTTCCTGCCAGCTACACGGGCGACGCGGATGGAGCTCTTGGCTCCTAGCTCGGGCCTGGCCCAGTCCTGGATGTTGCAGGCAACTGGGGAGTGAACCAGCAGGTGGCAGATCTCTGTCACTGTCTTTCAAATAACTAACTAAATACACACACAGATAAATCTTCTATTAAAAGTGGAAAGGGAACTTCAAAAAGTTCATGGAAGTGGAATTAAAAGAAACCTATTTAGGCATGAAAAATTTGAAATCCATGCATAATTTTTTCCTAGTACGTATTTGCCTTGAGCTTTTTGAAGATCTCTTTACTAGAGATAAAATTCCACAAACCATTTAGAAGAGCCTGCACTGCACACAAAACACACGTGCCACATGTGCAATAACATACATGTGCAATAAAACGTTTTCACTGACTGAATATGTGATACACTCCATCACAGAAGCTAACACGGTGGCATGGACCGCCTTTATTTTTATTTATTAAAAAATTATTTATTTGTAAGTCAGAGTTACAGAGAGAAGGACAGAGAGCTCTCTTCCATCCACTAGTTCATTCCCCAAATGGCCACAACAGACAGGGCTGGGGCAGGCTAAAGCCTGGAATTCATCCAGGTCCCTCACATGGGTTCAGGAGCCCAAGCACCTGGGCCATGTTCTGCTGCTTTCCCAGGTGCAGGAGCAGGGAGCTGGATAGGATGTGGAGTAGCTGGCAGTCAAACCAGTGCCCACACAGGATGTTAGCATCACAGGCAGTGGCTATACCTGCTACACCACAGTAGCATAGGCCTTCCTTAGAGGTAACTGTGTATAGAACAAATAAATGGTTGGCTGTTCGTTTCATTTTGTTTCAGGTTTTCATTCTGTATTACAAACAAATGAATCAATTTTTAGCTGCTTCAAAATCACAGAATTGACTCGTTGGGTAGCACAGACAATGGTTACCTATTGGCAGCAGGACTTGGACAAGTTTCACCAGCGAGATCTAGCTACTGGATCTGGATCATGTTCCTCGGGCTCAGTGAGATGAGGGTAATGACAGCACCTATCTCAGACTCTCGCCAGCAAGGTTAACTGAAGGAAAGCACACAACCCGCACTGTGTGAGATGCTGGCATACAGTCAGGGCCACTTGTTCTCTGGCCCTGTCAGTGCTCCATTGGTGTCTTCAGTTTCTGGTTGTCTCAGCACTTAACCTGCATCTCTACAAGAACCTCAGAGAAAGAGAATCTGGGACGGGCTTCTGTCCTAGTGGTGAAGACACCCACGTCCCATACTCGTGAACCTGGGTTTGAGACTCACCTCTGGCCCCTGACTCCAGTTTCCTGATGATGAAAACCCCGGGAAGCAGCAGATGATGGCTTAAGTGGTTGGGACGCTGCCACCCACGAGGAAGACCTCAAATGAGCTCCTGCTCTAGGCACTGCCTACACCCCAACCCCTCAGCACACTAGCGTGCGCCCATGTAACAAATGAACCACTGAATGGGAGCACTTGCTCGCTCACTCTCGCAAGTGAATACATTAAAAATAAATTTCTTTAGAAAAAGGAGAATCTATAACTATCAATGAAGATGTTTCAGAACAGGGGAAGGGAAAGGGAGAAAAAGAAAGAATGGCAAAACTGAACTAGAATGAAATACAGGGAGCCAGTCTCTCTATGCTGTAGGAACTCAGAAAAGAGATAATTAGCTGTACTTGCAAATGATGTCTCTGGTTAGTGACGACAGGCGCACAGTTAAAAATCGTTAACTACAGATGTCAAAACACATTCACGTCTGAGAATGCAGAGAACTTTGTCATAGCAACTTCAAGTTCCAACAGCAAAACCCACACAAGGTTTCTTGTATGAAATCACCTCTTCCACTTCTTTATTCTCCCTTTCTTGCAAGATATTTCATTTGAGTTTTCTGCAAACAGTTTTGCAACAACTTGAAGCAAGCCTTATTTTCACCAGTATGAATCGTTCAATCACATTTGTATCTTAGGTATCTTTCTATGTTTTTAAGCTTTGCCGTTCCCTTCAAAAATACGTGGCATGGTTGATCTAATTGTAGAACAGCAGTCTCATTAATACACAATAATGACTTGGAAGCTTGTTTCAGATAACTATATTCAGACAATTACTGTGTGAACAGAAATCCTAAAATCCACTGAGAATACTGGAAAATTGCACAGCAGTACAATTCCAACTGGCAGTTGCGATATGAGCTGAAAACTCCCGTTTTGCTTTCTTAATTCTAGCACCTTGACACCAGGAACTCCTGGGAGGAGGCCTAGCATTCATGGCACTCTTCTGTCTAAACAAAACAAACGAAAGACCACAGAATTACCTGGAGTCAGCTCCTGCTCAAGGAGAGACTAAATGTTACATCTTGGCTTCTCGGGTTTTACTGAGATGCACGTGCCTCTCCTAGGCTGCTTCTCCTTTTCTGTCTCTTGTTACTCTGCCTTCCCTTTTTCCTACATGGCTAGAAATTGCTCCTGTGACAGGAAGGCCAGCTCTGCTTCAGTATTTCACATTAAGGAGATTCTCTGGACAAACAGCACTGGCAGGCAATCCTCACTGAAGGGTCACTGTGTACCAGGCCCTGTGCTAGTCCTCCAGAAGAGACTTCGAGAGCGGTAGGGCAGTGCCCTCTCCATTGTGAGAAAAGCAAAATTCACAGGAAAAACCAAGCCTCTAAAAGTCCATGCTGTTGACTCACAGAATTTTGCTGCAACCCCCAGGGGCTCCCGCTTCCCCAGCCCAGGGGGTTACTCTGACTCACAGGCCTCATGGTGACCTCCGCGCTCCTGCTCCTCTGCTCCACTAGAGTAGCCTTCAAATATCTGAAAACTGGCCATGAAGCGCCTGGCTCTGTGCTGGGCTTTCCCACAAGCTGAAAGGAGAACACCTGTGAGCTGCAGAGCCCAGGCCCTGCAGATGGTGGGAACCCAAGAGGAAGAAGGCAAGGCCAGGCCTCCTGGCCCCGGCACTTTCCGCCACCCTGCCTCTCTGGTTGCACCCCATCCTCCTTCTCCAACCCCCCTTCCCATGGTCCATCCATGTTTCTTAGTCACCAAGGACTTTCATTGTCCACTCTGCTGCAGGAGGCCCCGTGACCAACCCTGAGCAAAGGGCCCCTGCTCAACGCTGCACAGCAAATGTCCTTCTATGGGAGCAGGGTGGTGACTCCACGCAATCTGCATGAAACCCTTTAGCACTTAGCACATACTGCTAATACCCCGTGAGCTCATGTGACCTCTTCCAGCCAGGTTTCCCACTCCATAAAACTGTTTTAATTCCAACAGTGTCCTTAAAAAAAAAAAAAAAAAAAAAAAAAAAACACACACACACACCTCACAGCTTTGAAATTTAGAAGCAGGCATTTTTGTTGAGTAATGGTTCTACAGATAAAAGCTGGAAAGAACTCTCCCAAGTGCCCATAGATCCTCAGATTTAATCAGTGACCTCATCTTTCCACTGTCAGTCAGATGGCACTCTCCATGCTGAGGGACAACGAAGCAGTTTGGGCCTAAATGCTTCTGTCTGTGATTTACTGTATTTATGAGATACTGGCTGAATCTGGAGCACGACACTAAACGCAACAAGAACAGAAGTGGGTTATACATTGGTTTGTTCTCTTGAGGAAGATGAACTGCACTCCTATGTCCTGCATCAGACAGCTAGGGGAGATTGCTGAGGGCCTCACTGATGACGACGCAATCACCGAGTACAAATGCAGCAGCCACATGCCGCCCAGGAGGATCTCCAAAGACAAGAAGCTTTTGCAAAATGAAATGTGAGAAATGGATCCTTCCAGAGCCCAGCATCAGAGCTACGACCAGAGAGCAACAGGTGGAGGAAAGAGGGTGAGTTATGCGAAGTAGGTTAGGTGAGGAGAGAGCAGTCCTTCAGGGCCTGCACATCCAAGGTGGATTCTTGCTACCTGAATTGACCAGCTGCTGTTCCATCACCCCACAGCCAAGGACTTCCAGCCATTCTCCGCGGAAGCTGATCTCCATCTCGAAGGAGGGATGCGTGAAAGGGAAGTAGCAGTCCACCCACCTTATCTCCAGACCTGCAAGACACAGAACGAGCAGCGTGAGGACATGCCCAACCTTGCTTCTGGTCAGCTGTGCCCTTCACTAACACCACCGATTACCACATTCCTAGTCAAACAAACAGCAAACAGACCAACTTACAACGTGTTGGGGTGAGGCAATAAATCTCAAAACTTGTGCAGAAACTGGGCATGTCGTTACCAATATGAAAAACACTTCATGTAGTTCTAGGACCCTCTAAACCCCAATCAATCATCTGTCAAATCCTGCAGCCACCTGGCAGAGGAGCAAACAAGGCCAACATCATGGAAAGGAGGTGATTCTGTCAGTGTCTCTGAGTGGAAATGACACCATTTCAGGATTAGAGAAACTACACCTTTATGAAACTGTGCTCCAAACGTGCAGATCAACAAAAGGACCAATTTAGCAGAAACTCATCAACTTTGGCTTCCATAAGTGTGTGTGCATAGGTATAAATTTTTACAAAATTAATAACAGTGAATAAAAAGTTCAATAAGAGATACAAGCCACATTTAAACAAAACATTTAAAAAGCCAAGCACTCTTCCTACAGATGGATGACGAACCACCTACATCTAAGTAAACAACCAAAAACTGTGTATGCTGAATACCAGGACGGACTTCTCACCAACCAATCATAAACACGGCACTTTCAAGCGAAGGTATTATTTCACAAAGGGAAAGACCACTGAATTCAGAGCAATGAACTGCTAGCCTGCGAAGGAAGGGCACAAGTCACTAACAGACTGAGGCCGGAGGAGACTCTGGATGCCACCATGAGGAACACAGAGAGCATGGACGTGTGACAAAGCACCTCTGTTCCAACACGTGTTCCTTTCCCTTCCCTTTATGGGATAATCTTGTTCTTGTCTTCCTTTCAGGCAACACTACATTCCTGCTAAAGGAGCCCGTACTCCGTGGAAACATACAGTGAACGTAAAATACTATATTTTGTTGCCCCAAACCACCTGCATTTTAAATCTTGAGGAAACCTGAATGTGAGATGAATAAAAATAATAACAAAATCTTTTTCTATTTACGGAGCACTTACTACACCTGTACCATCCATTTTACAGAAGGATAAAAATTTAACAGAGATGTCAAGTGCCCTGCCTCAAGTCATACAACCAGTGGATGACTGAGCCAAAGCTAGGTCTGTCCAACTCCATACCCCTGCTGTTGACGATAAAGAAAAAAAAGGTATTTTGAAAATAAAAAATTGAATAGGTATAGAATTCAGTAACATGGAGGCCTTTCCTGTGGCCCAAATTCAACAGGAGAAACGTAGATTTTCCTTTCACTGTTTGTCTAAGTTGCACTTATTTTTGTAGTTAACTGTATTTTATGGCAAGTATCAATTGGTTTCTTTTTACCACAATAATATAACCATCCACAATAATATAACATTTCTCCCTTTTATTACATATAAAAGTACTTAAGAAAGTTCATGGAAAACTCATAGTATTTTTAAAATATTTATTTATTTGAAATGTAGAGTTACAGAGAGGCAGAGGCAGAGATAGAGAGAGAGGAGTCTTTTATCCACTGGTTCACTTCCCAAATGGCTCCAAGGGCCAGAATTGGGCCGATCCAAAGCCAGGAGCAAGGAGCTTCTTCCAGGTCTTCCACACAGGTGCAGGGACCCAGGGACTTGGGCCATCCTCTCCTGGCCTCCCAATCCAGAAGAGAAAGCTGGATCACAAGTGGAGCAGCTGAGACTCGAACCAGCACCTATATGGGATACTCGCACTGCAAGCAATGGCTTTACCAACTACACCACAGCAGCGGCCTGGCACAGTATCTTTTAATGTCATTTCCCATGAACTTCTTGAAGTACCCTCATATGTGGTATAATGGATAAATGTTAAACTGCATATGGAGAAAGTGCACAGTTTCATAAGCTGAACATCAATGAAACGGCCACCACAGTCAAGGTTATGACCACATCCAGCACTCTCTGAAGCTGGCTCAGGCATCCTGGCAATCCACCGACTTCCCCGTCATCTCTGCCTCTTCTCTTGGCGCATCATGAACCCAGGCAAACACCGACGAGTTTAGAGCACCTACAATTTTGCAAAAATGGATCATACAGAACCAACTTTTTTGGGGGGTCAGGGAGTCTGACTCTTTGACTCAGTATACTTACTTTAAGATTCCTGAGTGTCCTTGCACTCATAAATGTGTCATTCTGTACCCAGGAATGTAGGATTGGGAACAGAGGCAGAGAATCTGAAGCAGTTTACTCAAAAGGACTTTTCCACTAATGTTCCAGAAAAGCTTATCTTGAAACACTGTTTTTTGGGGGAAATGGGGAGACTACCAGTCAACAAAGGAAGGCTGCAAGACATCGACCTGTGTCAGAATTTCAAATACACACTGCATGAAGACGTGTTTTGTGAGCAAGCTTGTCTAGGACATGGATTCACTATGCGCTAGGCTAACCTCTTACTGAGGTTATACACAAACCTTGAATGCATACATATTACATAATATCTGATGAAAAGTAAGGTCAAGTTTTTTTGTTGTTGTTGTTTTTTTTTTTTGGTCTTCTTTCCTCTTGCCAGGATGAGGGTTGGAGGGAGGGTTAGTAGTTTACTAAGCCACATGTACAAATGGTTTCAGAACTCTATGAAAGTAAAGCAACCATCAAAAATTATAAACCTTGATTTTCAGTGTAGCACCAAGTAAAAGAAAGAGCATTTTAGCTTAAATCAAATCTGGGTTCAAGTCTCAGATTTCTACCTTTTTTCCAATGAAGCCATGAGCAGATTAACCAACCTGAGACCCAGCTACTTCATCTATGGCAACTGTCTACCAGGGGACCTCAAAAAGTTAACGAAAAATTAAATTTAAAATAAGTGTATTTTATCACAAAACATTTTTAAATCCATGGATGGTTCATTTCCTCATATGCATGGATTTCAAAGGTTTTTCTTTTTAATACAAAAAAAAAAAAAAAAAAGACCCTATCTTCTAATTCCTTTTTCCACGAGCCTTCTGAGGTATCTTGCTGATGACGGCTGCTCCACCCAGGGGTTTCCAGCAAGGTCCCTGCTGCAGCCCAGGTGTTTCCAGAGGAGAGACCCTCTTAGGGAATCTGAGCACTGGAGGCTTTCTCTTCTCAATGGAGACGCTGAGGTCATTCAAGGACAAAGGAGCAGTTCCTCAGCTGGGACCTCAGAAATGACCACTGGGATCCCCACAGTCCTAGCAGAGGGGATGCAGCAAGAACTCTCTCTCTCTGCTCCCCCACTACCTGCCCCAGGAGGGATGTCAGCACTGCCCCCCTTGTGCCTGGCGTGCCAGCATCTGCCTTGCATCACTGGTAAGACCAATCAGTGCCCCAGGGCGGGTGTGTGTGTGTGTGTGTGTGTGTGGTCTCTGCCCATCAAGGTCTGACTCCTCTGCAATGCTGAATGCCAGAGACTCTGTAAACATTAAAGAGCTGTCAGCCCACCTTCATAACAGTTCTCATACTTAGCCAACAGAATACAACACCCAACTTCCCCGATTTCTCCACTCATTAGAGCTTTTCTTCTTTGGTTTCCTACATCCCTCGTATTTAAAGATAAGACGTCTGCCATCAGAAATTGGTTCCAGAGTGGTACAATCAGAAAGGCTGAGGGTCCAAACTAGAGCACAAACTAGAGATTTCCTACACCCTACCCAGGCTGCCCTCCGCTAAAGCAAACAGACTTCAAAGCAGACTACACAAATATGCAATTAATCACTGCTATGTGGCATTCATTGTTCAATAGGTTTTGCATGAACTCGGACTCGGACTAGGGAAGTAACAGAATGCAGTGATCTGCAAACCAGGGCGCTTGTCCCTCAGTGCTTTCTCAGCAGCACACCGACGGCAAGGCAGGAAAGGAAGGTGGCGAGAGAAAGGAAAGGAGCTGCTCTCTGGCTGGAAACCGAGTCTTAGCAAACTGGAATCACCCGTCGGCCACACTCTAACTAGGGACATGACCCAGCCTCTACCGCCAAAGGAACCTGACAACGCCATCTGTTTAGCTTACGTCTAAGGCCCATAGTAGTCTTAAATGCAGACCATTTCTTCTGATTTCTCTGTTCTAATGGCTTTATTTATCTTTGTCCTGAATAACTAACAGATTCACTGGGTTCAAGATCGACATGCTACAATAGGATGCACGTCACTACATAACAGGGCTTCAGGGAAAACAGCTTCCTCGTGCCTGTCCCCCCCCCCCCCCCGTTCTCCAGGACCTCTGGCAACCTTTCTAGGGGCTCCTTCTTATCACCAGATGTAAGGGAACCCAAATCTCTATTTCTCTTTTCCCTCTGTTCTTATATGAAAATAGCATACTCTACACAGCATTCTGCACCATGCTTCTCTATCCTCTGAACACACAGAACACTTCCTCACTCTTTTCCTTCCACGTGGCACTCCCACATTTATATGGAGTCCCTTATTGAGGTCTACTTGTAGGGTACTTAATATTTTACCACTGAAAGCAATGCTGCAAGTGGAATGCTGTGTTGGGTCAGAGTACTGCTTGTTATAATTTCAATAAGTTTGTCAAACTATAGGTGTCGTACAACACTTTCCACTAACATTAGCTCAGTGCTTTCTACAGGAGCCAAGGCCGCACAACCAATTAATACAGGAGTCGAACTAGAGCTCAGGTGCCCGATGATCTAGGGCTCTGCTGACAGAGACCACCAGTGTGGCTCCCGTGGGCAGCTCCCACCTGGCTAATCCAACAGCTGAGCACCCAAGAGCATGGAGTCCACTGCCTTCCTGCTCCTTGCCACCAATTTGCATATCTTATCTCCCCACTAGCAAAGGAGGACAATGTCTTCTGGACTCAGCCACCATGTGGCTGGCAGTAAAATAAGAAAGAAGAGGCACATTTTAGGCCTGAAGCCCCCGGGTGGGGATAAGAACATTGTTTCCATTTCCCAAGCCTGCCCCACAGGCCGCATGAAGTCATTGATGACTTAACACTTCATCCCCATCCAAGTCATTGATG